CTCCTAGTCCAGCTGAGAACCACTGGGCACAGTGACTGGGTCTTAACAGGCCCGTATTCAAAGCTCTGCTGTACAACTCACTGGCAAGTCATTTAACTGTACATATCTCAGTTTCCTCTTCCGTAAAATGTAAATTGACAATGGCTTCAGCCATGCCTCTTCGGAAGATTGGCTGGGGTCCTTGAAGAGTCCTTGACATTTATAAGCCTACATACGGTGTTCCATAAATTGTTAAGTCTTTTCCACAATTATGGGTTTTTTTCTGGCTACAGAAAGAAAAACTGTATGGCTATGAGACAGTACAGAAGAGTATAAAACAAAGACACACTAATCACCCAGAGGCAACACCTATTAACATTGTGACGTATGTGACGTATGTCTGAGTTCTACCCCCTTTGTGTACAGAGAGTATCATACAGAATGTGTAACTATGTAATGCTGTTACTTTTTTTGAGCACTCACGATATGCCTGGAACTGAACTAGATGCTTTACATATGTCCATTTATTAATCTTTATAACCTTTAATATATAATATAATATATATATAATATATATATATTATATATATTATAATTATATATAATATAATTTATATATAATATATATAATTATATATATATTATAATAATATATAATATAATTTAATATATAATATAATATAATCTTTATTAATCTTTATAACCCGATTCAGCAGCTACTGTTGTTTCCGCTTTGTAGAGTTATCTTCTGGAGGAGGGGTGAAGTGCTCTCCTGCATTAACCCGTGCTTGTGCTCAACAACAGCCAAACTAAACAGATATTAACAAATAAAATGCGTGTGCTTGCTCTTGGCTTTTCCTTCCCAGGAGCCTCTTAGCTGAAATTGTGCCCTTAGTGCGAATGTGCAGATCATTTTCCTAGGCGTGTGAATGAGGACATTAGTATCCCTCTGACTACTCTTAACTACCTCATAATACTTCCATCCTCAGAATAAATGATTCTCATTTTCAGAATGAGCTCTTAGCAAAAAAAAAAAGGAAATAAAGATGGGGGGGTATGAATCTGGCCAAAGGACTTCCCAGTTGGTGTGTTCTAGTTGCTTGGAATTGTGAGGCCCCTTGGGGACCACCCTGGGATTCCCCACATGCAATTTTCTGCCCTCTTCCTCTGACTTCCAGTTCACTGTAGAACGTTGAGCTGTGTAATGACAGTACGGTGGCAGTGGGATGATACTATTATTGTTAGGGTTGTGTGTTCAAGAATGCTGGAATGACCCAGATACCCCTCCTCTAGGGAGCTCCCCCAAGGGGAGGGACCTCTGAGGTGAGAGCAAATGGGAAATAGGCCTGCCACTTTATTTTTAACCAGTGGCCCTTACCTCTCAGTGGAGCAAAACCAGGAAGTATGCTGGGGCGTGAGATTAAGGCAAAAAACATGGGTAGGGCCTCTGACTCTTCCTAAACCCAAATCTGACCAACGGGGGCTTTCATAATTCAAAGGGGTGAGTACATCGCTAGACTCACGTCTATGTAGTGCTTAAAATGGGCACTTGACGTCTATTAATTCATTTCATCCCGGCAATTCTCCTACTGAGGTAGAAACTATTATTATCCTCATTTTAAAGCGAGGAAAATGAAGCACCCAGAGAGAACAAGACAGCTATTTTTCTCAACAAAAGAGAGTTTCTGGGTGGCCTGCCCCTGCCCACTGATAAATATGGCCTAAACCAGTGTCCTGACTTAATCAGGAGAAAACAAGAGCCGGGGGTCGGAGGAGAGCAGGGTAAACCCCTCCTCCCGCTCCGCCTGCTGGAATCACGTAGGCAAAGCCATCATCCCAAGGCCGCTGAAGCTGACATTCTCATCCTGGTGGCAGCTCTCAGCTGGGATGGGTGCTCGTGCCAGCTTGATCCCAAGAGGCAGTTCGAGCCAGCTTCCGCAAAATGAAATGGTCTCTGACACCACCCACTTCCTTTCCCGCTGTCTTGCCCTCCTCTCCTGGCCCCGTGTGGCCCACCAGGCGTCTGGCCTGAGCCCCATTCTGAAGGAGAAGTCCATGAGGGTGAAGTCACCCGGCTTTCGAGGCACATACAGCTGGCTCAGGACTGTGGCTTTGGACAAGTTAACCTCCCTGAGGAGATGATTTCCTCTTGCTTGGAGAAGAGATAATATTTCCCAGCAGGGCTTCCAGGGTTAAAAGGACAGCGGGAGGTAGCGGCCTTAGCTACAGCAATGTTGTTTACTTGCAGGGTGCCACCCGTCCCTCAAAGGACACTTGTGCTGTAATAGGGATCCCCGAATACCCAAGGCTGTGAAGAACCCCCCTCTGCCCAGGCAGCAGTCCAGGGGTACCAGCAGGGTGATGCTGGGAGCAGGGAGTTGTCCCCAAGTGTCCGTGATTCATTCAGAAAAGGGTGGAGTGCCCTTGCGGCCACATGATGTTAAAGGCAAACCGCAGGCTAATGAAAAAGAGGCAGAGAGTGGACACAGAGAGCTGCTCTGGAGGACTTTCTAAAGATAGGTGTAGATCCAGGTGCTTTGGAAAATGATTAAATGATTAAATAGTATTTCATTCAACCATGCAGAAAAGTTTAGGTACTGACACCATTAGTGGTACAGGCCACTTCCAAATGGAATGACTGCTCCATAGCGTTTTATGTAGGAAGGGAGAGTGCAAGGAAGGTCGCGTCAAACCCGTTTGTCTTGGAAGTGGCTTTTCAAACTATTATTTTGTGGAGAATTGGCCTGGAGATTTTCTTAAAGTGCAGGACTGATTCAGCAGGTCAGGGAGGGTGCCCGAAACTGCCTTTCTCACTCGCTTCCAAATGATGGCTGTGTCTGCTCCGTGGACCACCCTTGCAGCATCCTGTGGAAGACGAAACTGCCTCTCAGCTCTGTATTCACCTTGATGCAGAAATCAGTTACTTCCAGCTCCTGCTCAGATACCCATTATCTCTGTTTGCACCTGCATGTGCCCCCTGAATAATCTTTCCTGCCTTCAAGAGTGGCCTCGAAATTCCCGCAATTAGAAAAATCACCTTGTCTTCTCATGCAGACCCAACCAGAAACTGTTCCAGGGAGCCCAAGGCGAACTGAACCCTGGGCTGCCGCCCAAGCCCGCCCTCTGCTGGTGACATGAGTCACTGTCTTCTAAACCCAGCCTTTCCTGCTGCTCAAATGCTCATTTTTGTTTTCGCATTAATACGGGCAGAAAAGTTGCATGACATTTTCCAGAGGTTTATTTCACTCTTCTAGATTTGGAGAATTTTCCAGCCCTGTTCCTTCAAGTACATCCTGTCGAGGGAGTAAATAAATGTTCAGCCAGCACTTACTAGCACCTTACTGTTCTGAGGTGCCTAAAAGTCCTCCTCCCCGCCCCCCACCCCGATTTTGTTCCCATCCCTCCCAGGCACTTTCCACAGTGGGGTGGCAAGCCTTCCTTTATTCATAGCCTGACCACTGCAAGATGACGAGAGGGAGCAAGATTCTTGGTGGTTGTGGTAAGGGAGGAAATACAGACACAGAGACATCAGGAGCCAAAGAACATTTCAGGGAAGGACAGGGAGATTGGGAGACTCGTGCTGCTGATTATAGCATCATCATTCATTCACTGAAACATTTCTTAATCACCTACCTACTACCTACAAGACTTGGGACCAGGTAGGAGTTAAGCACTCCTAACCCTGCAAAGAGAATGTAGTCTAATAGGAGAAATAAGCCTAATAGCTAACACTTATTGAGTTATCATATGCCAAACAACGTTCTTACATTATTTTATTTAATTTTACTTAATATTATTTTAATTTTACTTAATCTTTACAGCAGCCTGTGATCATCCTCGTTGTACAAATGAGAAAACGAGGGACACCTGACTGTCTCAGTCAGTAAAGCGTGCGACTCAATCTCAGGGTCGTGAGCTCAAGCCCCACGTTGGACACGAAGCCTGCATTTAGAAAGAAAGCGGGGGGGAGAGAAAGAAAGAAAGAGACGAAGGAAGGAAGGGAAGGAGGAAGGAAGGAAAAGAAAATTGGGGTGCAGAGAAGTTGAGTGATACTTTCAGTTAATGATGGAGTCAGATAGCTGAAAATTGCAATTTGCTACTTTCTCTAATAGGGTTCTGGGGTTCGATGGGCCTGGCTGACTGGCTCTCATTTGAGGTCCTTTGTACAGTTGACTTTATACAGTCAGATAGTGGCTAAGGCTGGTGTACGAATCTGGAGCCAGGGTTGGGATGTCAAAAATGGTCAGGAGCTGGCCAGGCACCTCCGCTTGCAAGGCCTCCCTGAGTGGCTAGCTTGGGCTTCCTCATATCTTAGCAGTCAGAGTAGCTGACATCTTAGATGACAGCTGACCAGGCCCAAACTGCAAAATTTCTCATGATCTTGCTTCTAAGACCCTACAGCATCATTTCCATTATATTCTATTGGTCCAAGTGGTTACAGGTCAGCTCAGACTCCAGGAGGTAGAGCTCTGGGCTCTGTGTCTCAGCAGGGGAAGAGCTTCGAGTACTCCAAGGCAAGGAATTGACGAAGACCACCTTAGAGAAAGTCACCACACCTTAAGCAGCCTGACTCCAACCTTTGTACATTCAGTCTTTATGTTCCACAGACCCCACATCAGACAGACACAGGCGCACCGTGCTCCTAGTGGAGGCAAAGGAAGAAGCGATTGGCTCTGCCTCAGTGGGTCAGGGAAGTCTTCCCAGAGGAAACACCCATACTCATACACACACACACACGTCCCCTTAGAACGGAGGACAGATTGTGACTGCCTTAGGCAACATACTGCGTGATCTCTATGCGTTGAGGGGACAATGGCCGAGGGCCAGAGGCAGCTCTGAGACAGCATGTGGAAAGCCACCAATCCAGGAAACAGGAGCCATGAAGTCCAGGCTCAACTCTGCCGCAGTGTAGTTCGGGGACCTTGAGAGGAAGCAGGAGGCCAGGAGAAGAAAGAGCTAGAGGTCTTTCCAGAACATTACCGAGTGGAATTTCTGACCATGTTGTGCTCCCCCACCCCCAGATCGGAGACCCGCACTTAGTGATCTGTATGGACTGCTCGGCAGACACCATGACCAACCGCCTTCTCCAGAGGAGCCAGAGCAGCCCTTGCGCGGAAGACACCAGCACCATCGCCAAGCGCCTTGAAGCCTACTACCGAGCGTCCATCCCTGTGATCGCCTACTATGAGACGAAAACACAGCTACGCAAGGTGAAACGTTTCACTTCCTTTCCTCAAAATGAACCAATAATCTTTTCTTTCTTTCTTTCTTTTTAAGAGAAAAGGGGGGAAAAGGGAAATTTCCATCCAGGGATCTAGGAATTAGAGCTGCAGACAGCTGCAAAGTTTCACCTTTGTATAAATCAAAATTAAAGAGCTGTCATCACATAAACCATAAAAAATTGGTCATAGAGTTTTCACAGATGCCCTTATAGTTGCTGAACACAACTCCTTTTTCCAAAATAGAGAGAGGGAGGGCGGGTGGAAGGGTGGGGATGAGGCCTAGGTTCTGCCTTCTAGACCGCAGCTGAATAGGGTGACCCAAAAGGTCTCTTCTAGGTTTAAAATTCAATGACTTGGAATTTCTAGATTTTTACACGGTCCATAATTGGCACTTGGATTTCTTACAGTAACTGTTATTGAGCAAAGCAGCCTACGGGGCCAAGAGAGCAGGGAGTTTGGTGCAACAGTGAAGACACTGGGGGGAAATGGGTCCCGCCAACCTAATGATCGGAAGGGGTAATCCCTGGTGAATTACCATTCATTTCAACCCCTCCGTCCACTCATCTGATAAACATGTATGAAGCCCCTCCTGTCGGCCATCCATTGCCCTAGGGGTTTAGATACAGATCATGGATGCAGTTCCTGCCTCCTCGAGCTACAGGTTTCAGTAGGAGATAGACAAGCCAGCCTCTGATCATGGTATGGGGTCAGAGTGAGCACAGAGTGAGTTCCAGTGGCCCTTTAACCAGTCTACGGGGAAAGGAAAAGCATGAAGGAAGGTCACTGGTGGACAACTAAGCTGAGCCTCAAAGAGGGAGTGATGGGCACCCCACACAGGAGGAGCCCCAAGGAGAAAAGCTCAGGAGGAAGGAGGAACTCGGCTTGGCTAGGACATAGAGTGCCAAGAAAAAGAGAAAGAAGAGATGGGGCTGGAGAGGGAAGAATGGACCAGATCAAGATGAACCTGAGTCAGAAGCAAATAACGGTCCTGTGGTGGGTGGGAAGCGGCAGACACAGTCAGGAGGTAAGACAGAATGTTCAGTCCATTGAGCTGGCAGAGAATGCATCTGAGAAGACAAGGCTGAGAGACGACTCTCAGGGAGGCAGGGTGCCAAAGCACAGCAGAGAGCACAAACCCCTACTTTCTAGAGGAGGCCTCCATCAATAAATAACCAACTTGTCTCTGAGGCAGCTATGTCATCCATTCCTTGGCAGAAACCAATGGTAATGAGTTCTCATCTTCTACACCTGTTAATGGTCCATTTTGCAGAATCCTAAGAACTTAGCCCTGGGAATAGAAGTCTGAAAGGTGTCCCTTGATATAATGCAGGGATGTCAAATATGGGGCATGAAAGCCCCCATCCCCAACTTCCCTCTCCGAAGCTACTGATCCACTGGTCCCCGGGGCCCTGGGAGCCCTTGTTAGCGCAGCTCTCCAGGCAGCTCCTAGCAACTCACAGGACTTGATCTGCAAGAGGAAACCGATGAGCTGTGCTTTGTGTAACATCCGACTGCCACATAAAACAAACACTTACACTCAACACAAGCCAAAAAAAAAAAAAAAAAAAGTACCATGTAAGAGCGGGGTCTTAAGAATTCAGGGTTGCAGAAGACTTTGTAAGATTAGTGATTTCCACCCTTCATGCAGCCTGGAACACACAAGAAAATTGTCCAGATAGAAGAGAATTTCTTCCACTTTTGATTTGTAGAGGTGAAAAAAAAATTCCCTAAGTCATTCAGAGTTTAACCACTTGCAGAGTCAGAAAAGCCCTTTATCTACCTCTGGTATCATTCCAGCCTGAGTTCTACACACTGACAGGTGATGGGTACATGGATACAGGACCGAGTTCTGGAATCCTCCTTAGAAATATCTAAGTTAATGGAAAATGAAGTTTTCGGTTCCATTTGACTCATCGCGTCTGCTTCCCCTGCATCTTGAGGATGCTGGCAGCCGGGTCTGTGGTAAGGTCACATTTAGGATCCGCTTAACAAATATTTAAGCTGCTCCAGCCCTGACTTCAGAGCAGTATAGCTCCAGCCTGCGGGACTCCCAAGGAACCTCTCAGAGGCGGTGCCTCTGCCCAAAGCGGGATGAACGCGCTCTGTCCCCAGCATGGCCTAGGGACAGCAGGGACCCTCAGAATACTGGGCACAGGGAGGTGAGACTCGCTTGCAGGTGCCCCATGGGGGTTGCCACAGCTGGGCTACAGAAGCGGGGACTGGAGGAGAAGCAGGGGCTGGTGACAGGCAGGCATGTTTTCCATGGGGGAAGGGGAAAGCCTCTGTCCCTTTGTGCTCCCTGGCTTCGGGGCTCCTGCCCCATCTTCTTGCAACAGCTTTATCTCCTCCTGGGTTCTGAGCGACAGTTTGCGGCTCGTCCTTGGGATGCTCTTTGGAAGGTCAGCATCTCCTCCCCGTCCGGCTGGTGCATGGAGCCCCAGGCAGGGCTGTGTACCATCCAGGAGGGCCCCTGGATCATTTCAGGGATTTTCTTAAAACTAGGTAGGAGTGGCGAAGGCGCTCCAAGATGCAGACAAAACAAACCAGTAGCTCAGTGAGATTTACTTAGGAATGAGAGCTCCATCATGGTCCCGCCAAGAAGCAAATGGCCCTCCACCAGCGCCTCCTTCGGGCCTCCGGTTTGCCCAGGTGCGTGGGGGGTGAATCCGTTGGCTAACACCCCTGCCTGGTGACAGGCAGCCCTCTGGCCCGCAGCTAGCCCAAAAAAGGGCCGTGAAATTTCAAACAAAGGTAACAAAGAAGCAAAATGGAATTGATACAACCACTGTCTCACTCTTTAAGCCCTTATGATGCGATCATTATACAAAACAGAACTTCCTAGAACATATACCTCGGGATAGAGGCATATGTGAGACAAATGGATCCCCGGACTTCCCAGCTCTCTTCTCTCCCTCATAAAGGCAGCTTTGCTCGGCATCTGAGAAAGAGCTAGAACAGAACTTTTCTTCATTCCGCTCTCTTCCTCCCTCATGCTCTGGGCAGACATCAGTCGTCAATTGTGCTGTGGCTTTCCTACCCAGTCTGGACAGCTGCCTCAGAGACTTTCCCCAGGGGCAGGAACAGGGCCACACCCAACTCTCTAGAACCCACCCCTAAAAGGAAGCTTTTTTCCATTTCAGTGAGAGAATTCATTATTTAAAAAACAAAAACCAAAAAACTGAAATGTAGCATTTCAGGGTAAAAAGCATTGTACTTGGCCAAAGACCCCAACAGAGAAAATTCCGTCTTGGGTACCAGGAAGCCTGAGGCACGGTGCGGTGGAGCTCTGTGAATCTGGATGAGTGATTTCACTGCCTAACCTCGCCCTTCCTCAACCTAATAAGATGGATGGACAGAATAGGACCTCCTGGAATCCTCCAGGCCTATCACTAGGATTCCTAGGAATTCGGAAAATAAATAAATATATGTTTATTATATGTTAATGTTATGTTAATATAACATAATATATATAATATAATATATAATATTAATTAATTAATATATGTGGTATAATTTTCTAATCATAAAAGTAACACAGACTTATTTTAGTAAATATAGAAAGCTAGGCTCTTACGAAGTCTTATCACCACTCAGAGACACACATTCTGGAGTATTTCCTCCATATCCTCTTGCTGTAAATTTTTAAAACATGACTATAACCATCAGTATATTGATTAACTAGGGCTCCTTGGTGGTAGGTAATAGGCACCAACTTCAGCTGGCCTAACCCAAAACACAAAACTTTAAATTATAAGGTGATACAACCCACAGCTTCAACCCAGCAGGCCCAGGCAGGCTGTGGGACCAGGTCCCTCTGGCTTTGCACACATGCCTTCTCTCACTCATCCATATTTTTCTTTATCTGGCCCAGAAGCTAGAATATGGCCATCCTGCAAATTCCACATCCATGTGTTACCGCAAGAGTTCCAAATTCCAGACAGAAATGTTCTGACTGGCCTTGCTTTGCTCAGGGTCTCTCCTTGGTCCTGTCAGCTCTGGCCAGGCAGGTGGGGTCACATGGGACTTTTTCATTTGTTCGTGGATATTTTGTTGAGTGTGTACTGCATGTCAGATACTGTTCTTGGTCCTGGGGACAGAACAATAAACAAGAGAGACTGAAAAGAGAAAAATGTTAGACGAGAAAGTAAAGTAATTGCTAATAGGATAATCTCTGTGAGTAACACAAAACAGTGAGCTGCTGGTGGGGGCTGTATTTTAGGTGGGTGTTTGGAAAGTCTCTGAAGGGGCATTTGAATTAAAACCTGGCCCATATACACATGGCTACCTGGGACTCTTCCCTGGGAATTGGGTAGGTAGAATTCCCAGAAGAGAAGGGCTTGTTGTGAGTGGGGAAAAACCCCAGAAATAGCTACCTCAAGTGGCATAAACAGAATTGTATGAATTAATGCTTTAGGCTTCTTTTGTTGACAAGTATAAAAGTAACAACTGCTTCTTAAAAAGACACGAACTAGAAAATTCAGGAGTATAGAGATAAGAATCTTCCACCCAAACCACTAATGAACATTTGGGTATATTTTCTTACATTTGTTTTTCTCCACCTGTTACATACTTTTTGCTCATGGTGTAATCAGCCCAGAAACGCCCCAGGCCATAGATGAAGGGGCTTGATAACAGATGGTAACTGTCCCTGGGTTATTTATTAGTTTTAATCAATTTAAGAAAAGGGGCGGGGGGCAATGACTCCATAAACACACATTTCACAGATGCAGGAAATCAAGTTCCTTGGCAACTCTCTCTGACAAGTCAAGGTTTTTGCTCGCCCATTCTGCTGCTGCAGTGTCCCATCTTCATAAATAGTTTAGCCATTTTAGAGCAATATCCATTGTTGTTCTGGGGAGTCATCCAACCTGGCAGGGGATTTTTCGTGACCTGAGGGAGAAAGAATGAGAAAGGCAGCAGCTGGCACCGCCCGGAAGGGAGGGGACGCGGAAGGCATGGGAAAGTCAAACTTCATTCTCCACAACCCT